GAGTGGGTGTGAGTGTGTGAGTGTATGTGAGTGTGAGTGGGTGTGAGGGTGTGTGCCTGTGTGAGTATGTGAGTCCATGTGAGTGTGAATGTGCATGTGTGAGTGTGCATGCAAGTGTATGAGTGTGAGTGCCTGTATGAGTGCGTGTGAGTTCATGTGAGTGAGTGTACATGCATCAGTGTGAGTGTGCAAGTGTGTGTTTGAGTGCATGTAAGTGTGTGAGTGCTTATATAAGTGTGTGTGTGAATGTGTGAGTGCAAGTGTGAGTGAGTGAACACACACTAAGTGGAAAGCTTCTGTCTATAAACTAACACTTGGTAGTGACCATCCCTCTTACTGCATGACACAGTGAATAGGTTATTTTAAATTATAATGTGGAGGTAAAAAAAAATATATGAACATTTTAGAGGAGGGTGCTGCTTCCGAGTCAATTTCTTAACTTTTCTTGCTTTTCTGACCAGATCTCTTGACAAAACATAAACCAAGAATTGACCCTCAGACACTTTAATAGTCAGTCGGCCAAGGAGGAGGACGAGGAGGAGAAGGAGGAGGAGGAGGAGGAGGAGAAGGAGGAGGAGGAGGAGGAGGAGGAGAAGGAAGAGAAGGAGGAGGAAGAGGAAGAGGAAGAGGAGGAGGAGGAGGAGAAGGAGAAGGAAGAGGAGGAGGAATACTATTTTTTGTGTCCTGGAACTCTGATCAAAAATAACAACATGTAACAGAAAGCGGCTCATCTCTGGCATAAACCAACACTGAGGAAGACACGGTCCAGGTTTATTTCTAGTACTTGTACTTGAGACAGCTTTTTCAAATACCGAGAGGTCTGTCAAGGGGTGGGGAGTGCCACCTAATTCCAGAAGGTGGGACAAAATCCACGGGCAGAATACCCAAAGAGGTTTCTGAGAAGCAACTCCGTCAGAGCTCCCGGAGACCCAGTGAGGTGTGGGATGAAGTCACTGTCACTGGCCACGGAGGGACTGAAAGGTTGGGGAGACAAATGACCCCCTACTCCTTCTCCCTCAGTGACAGATATTCCTGTCTACCATCTCTGTATGCCTAGCACCAACCTGGAAATATTTAGTTGTATTTTCCAGATTTTCCAGAATCCCATAGGGAGCAGGGGAAACGCCCGTGAGGTTCAGAGACAGAACGGCATCGCCAACAGAATCCAGGTCGTTCAGCAAAGCACCTACACACTCATCATCACAGGCTTGAAGAGAACACAGGGCAAAAACAAAGCTAATACAATAGGCTTCGATCCATGACTTACACAGGCCGTGTTGTAAGGAGAACATACACTCAGGGCCCATGAACCAAACAAATTTCATTCACATTCCAGCCAGGGGAGTCGGCAATTCTCAACCAGGTGACTAAGGCCTGGCAAAGTCACACCCTCAAGGTCACAAAGAAAGGACAGCTGAGCCTGGAGTGGCCCAGGGGTCAGAGCTCCTTCCTCCCACTTGAACCTTCATTCCTCTCAATGGGACTGGTTACAAGAATCCCCAGTTCCACTCCAGAGCCTTGTCTCCACAGTCTGGGTGTCCCAGGATTTCCTCCTCAAGCACCAAGGCCGTGGAGAACAGAATGGGGGGGGTGATTTACTTATCACAAACACAGAAACAAAAGTGAAAACCTTTCCCAGTGAGTATCACGGGATAGTATCCCCATGGCCCACTAAGACTTCCCAGGGGCTCCTTGTCTTGTACTTGACAAGAGACATCCATCAGAACTGGAGAAAACTAAAGAGAACTGAATTTGGACAATACAAAGGACAACCCCACAGCAATGTTCCCTCTTCCAGGCTAATTGAGCCTTGGTTTCAGTAAAGGAACTATTGACACTACTAAACGATGCAGTCAAGATTATTAGTTGGGTGCAATACACACTCCTGTAATCGCAGTCAGTACTTGGGGAAATTGAGGCAGAACTATGATGTTCAAAGCCAGCCTGGGTGGGCTATATCCTAAGTCAAAGGTGTCTTGGCTTATTCATATACAACTAAAGGTTCAATTCAGTAGGTTTAACGGCAATATGCGTTCAGGAAATGTAACAAAACGTAAAGTGAGTGAGAGCTGTGGTATCCCACTGACCCTGTGGGTGCCATAGCCAGGTCCCTCGTCAGCGAAGGAAACCCAACTTTTGGCACGCACACAGGAGAATCACCTACAAACACAGTCGCTCTCCATCAGGATGTGTCTCGGCAGGCATTCCTCACAGCGGAGCCCCGTAGCTCCTGGCTTGCAGACACACTGCCCAGATGCACGGTCACAGTCACTGTGGACAGAGCCTTGGGGGTTGCAATCACACTTCCGGCAGCTGCCACCTGCTGCTCCAGGGTTGCCGTGATAGCCAGCAGAGCACCTAAGGGAAAGACGATGGTAGGCACCTGTCAGAGCAGTCTGTACCAACCAGGCACACACACCAACTCTGACCAGGGGCAGTCGCCCTTTTTTGCCAGACAAAAAGTGGAGCACAGGAAACCTTGCTATCGGCTAGCAATGTGGTCCCCCATCTGTACAAACACACACACACACGTGTAGTAACTCCCAGGTTGCTACATAAGCATACACCATATGCTATAAAAAGGGCGGGGGCCCCATCTGCCTCCTTGTGATAGGCCAGCGGCATACCTTTCACAGTGCTGTCCCTCATAGCCGGGGAGGCAGGCATTGCACCGGAAACCACTGTCACCTTCCGAGACACAAGTGGGGCTGAAACTGAAAGAAATGTGTTTTTCAGAGAGTTTCAGATACTGACTTCAAATATTTCTTGAATATTTATCTATCCTCACTGTTCAAAATGTTAAGTGATTATACTTGGCTAGGTAAGCTAGGGCTTAAATCTACAGAACAAAAGGAACCTGCTACTTGGCTGGATCCTTTTCGGCTATACTCTCTGCTTCCACGGGATAAACTGCCATGCGCCACCTGGAGGCAAGAGTGGGTAACTGCAAATTACTGAAACCTCACCCAAACCTAGCAGGAAATCAGGTCTGGTTCCTTGCCCCGGAGAGTAAGCCGGATGTCTACAGCAGGAGTAATCAGCCCTGTACCACCTCTAGCACCTATCTCCTTAAATAATGAGGCTCCAAGGAAACACAAAGTATGTAAAAAACTAAAAACAAGAGATCTAGGTCCTCTCAAAGTTGTTCATTCTCGTGCCTCCTAGGTAACTGCTAAGGGTTTGGGACACGATTAACCTTTCTTGATGGAAGAAGCAAACTCATTATCTAAGCAATGTGGAAATACATAAATTGGATGGTGAGACAGGCATGTGTGCACGTCTCTGGGTGCACATAGCCACTGTCCACAGATGTAGAATACACATACAGACTTTTTTTTTTCCAGCATGTTGCCACAATGCCTAGTCAATAGCACGGGCAGTGCCACGGCCTCCAGATAAGTCATTGACTGACAGACACACATCATGTATCTTTTCTCGGGGCTCGTGTGTTTCATCCTAGGCATACGTATACACAACCCTGTTTTCTTACATTGTAAAGGAACTGGATCACACAGCAGAGCACATAGCTGAGAGCCAAACGGTGCCTTGGAAAATCCCAAAGGCCTACTTTAAACTTGGTTCCATTCTAACACTCAAGTCCAACACGATGCTTTCCTTTTGTAGAGATCTTATTCAAACACCCCCGAGAATGCACACTTCCCCTTAACATGTGCTTTATCTCCCCACAGGGACAACATTAACAGAGAGCACTCAGAGCCCCTTAAGAAGTGAGGCCAGGAATGGAGGCAGCCCCCATATGTGAACAGAACTGCTGTATCCTGCTGCCCCAGCACAGCCTTACCTGAAAGGGGGGTGATGAGGACAGGTGCACGGGGTACAGTCTCCCGCCAGCCCAGTCACCTTCCCATAGTAGCCAGGAGCGCATAGCTCGCAGTGGTCCCCGGTTGTGTGGTCCCCGCAGTTCTGAAGTTCCACATTTCAAAGGAGGGACAATGGAAACAGTTAGACATGAACGTCACCGGGTGATGGTTCCGTAACCAACCGTGCTTCCTATCAGCAAGATGCTCTTTAATTCTTAAGGAAGACAGGACATTTTTCTTCATATTTCCTAGAACTCTAGAAGCTTTTCCAGATCTGTGACCTTTATTCACCGTAAGACTAAATCGAGTCATACAGCCTAGAAACTGCTGATACATTCTACAGAAGGAGAACAGACCCAGGACCCGAAAGCAGTCAGGACTCAGATCCTCAAAATATGGATCTAAAGTAGATAGAGACCCAACTTGCCAGTTAGGGCTTGATGTGGTTTAAGTGAGAAATGTCTTGTTCATTTGGGTGCTTGGGTCTCTGTTGTGTGAGGAGAACTTAGAGAACATGGAGCCATGTAGTAGGAAACAAGTCACCGGGGCCGGCCTTTGAGAGTTTATGGCCTCACCCCATTTCCAACTAACTCTCTGTGTTTCCTGTGTATGAGTGACACGTGATCATTTCCTGCTCTGGCTGCCTGCTGCCATGACTCCTTTGCCATAAAGACTCCCCCCCTCTGGAATTGACACTCAAAATAACTCTCCCTTTTGTTACCTCACAGAAAAGTAACAGAAAAGTAACTAATTCAGGGTTCATAGATCGCTAGGCAGGCAGCTGTGGTGGGTGAAGAGAACGAGCAGGTGGCTTATGAGGCAACCGGTGGAGGGAGGGAAGACACTTGTGGTAGATTCTTATAACAACCAAATAAACATCAGTTAAAATATGATGTCATTAGTTGAGCCAGAGACCTTACTACCAAAAAACGGAGTATATAGATGTATGTTTAAGCTCAAAATGAAAGCAATTTTCATCACCAATTCTATTTAAAATCCACACTGCTCCGTCCCTCCATATTTGCTCTGCCCCGGTGCACACAGTATGACCATGCAGCTGAAAAGGAAAGGCAGAAAAGCCAGGCATCCCTGAACAGGCAGTCACTCTTGCTCTGCCTTTTCTCCCGTGAAACGACAGAGCAAGAAGTATTTTAAAATTATGTCTCTAGACTCTTCAACCAGAAAACACTTAAAAACATTTTGTTCCTGTTTCAACTGATAAAGACAGGTTTTGTTAGGATCCACTTGGCCTCTTAAATGGGTCTCCCTTCAGAATGGGGTATTTGCAATCTCTTCAAAAATAAATTGCAGTAAATACTTGTTTTACCCAACATGGTATGTTGCAGACAAGGACCAAGTACTAGAAGATGAGACAGGATGGAAACAGTTCTAGGTGTTCTCCAGGGAATGTCAAGTCCAGCACGAAGCAGTTCCCCTAACAGACAGTGGATGCTGGCCTCCTGTTGGCTGCCATTCTAGAGAATGAGCCACCCCGGAGAGTGGCAGAGACACGAGGACCTGCTACTGAGGACTAGAGTTGAGGAGGCATCAGTGGCTAAGGGACTCGGGAACAACACCTGGCCAGTTTCCCAGTGATGTGCCTTCTAGGTAGAGATGGCAGCAAGGACCTCCTGGAGGTCCGTGGAAAGCCTGCCTGGTCCCTAGCCTTCTCCTTTTAAGTCACGCTGATAACGTGTAAACTTAGGTCAGTTCCCACCCAATCGAACATACCAGACACTTTCCAGTTTCAGGGTCGCAGACATTGCTGTGGTTGTTGCAAGTGCAGGGCACACAAGGAGCCAGCAGAGGGCGGGGTCCCCTGCCACTACTTCCTGGGAGCTTTCCTCTGTGGTACCCAGGAGCACAGTCCTAAAGGGATGCAAAAGGAACAAGAAAGTGGACCCTGGTTAAAATCTTGGCACAGGGTGAAAATCCTTCTCCAGAGAAGACAGAAGGCTAGCAGCACATGACAAGTGCCACACCACTATGGGGGATTGCGGGTTGGGGGGGACACAAATCACATCCACACTAAGAGCTGAGCTTGCTAGCTTGTACCCACAATCACACCTATAGGGAAACTGAGGCAGACGGACTTGGACTCCTGTGAGTCCAGTCTCTGCTACGGAGTGGGTTTCAAGCTAGCCAAGGCTTTGGAGTGAAAAAATCCTGTCTCAAAACATTACCACCAACAAAAGTAAAACTCCCAACTCTGCACAAAAGCCAAAGTAACAAGGCAGAACATGTGTTGGGCCTGTACAGGAAGTGGAGTGCTTGTGTGCAGCTGGTACAGAGGAAAGAGTGTGCAGGGTCCTCCAGAATGAAAAAGCACCATTAGCTACGACCAGCAAGTTTACTACTTCTGGTGGGCTTGAAAGAACGGCAGGAAGGAACTGAAAGAGGCATTCACCTTCCCTTCCCCACAGCAGTGTCCACAGAAAGCAACCCAAGGCCTCACAGAAAAACAGAGAATGTATCCAAATGTTGGAATATCATTCAGCCTTCAAAAGAAAGTCTAGCATGCGTTAACATGGAGGAACCTCAGAGGCATTGCATTATGTAGAGAGGGCAGCCACAAAAGAAGAAATACTGCAGCATTCCACTCGTATGGGCAACTAGGAGTAGTCAGAGTCCCAAGGAGCGGAAAGTAGGTAGAGAGCTGAAGTGGGGGCTTGCTGAAGAGATGCAGGTTCAGTTTGATAAGAAAAAGGAATATTCTAAAGAACAATTGTATCCCCAGAACTATGAACATACTGCAGGCTGCCAGATCCTACACTCAAAAGTTGGTGGAGTCAATAAATCTGAATTTAAACAAAAATTAACATTTTTAAATTTTAAGAAGCCAGGTTGTAAATGCTTTCGTGTTCTATCCCCCCATGAAGGATTGCTGTAAATGAGCATATTCCAGCTTGAAGTCAAGACACAGATGTTAACTGAAAATGACGGTTCCCTACCTGACAGGAGTGTCCAGCAGTGCCAGGAGGACAGACACAGAGCTCCAACATCGAGGCAGCTTCGCCCTCAGGGGGTGCCTCTACAGCCTTCCTGCCAACCTCCATTGAGATGTTAGCAATTCTGAGGCACCATTGTGAAGAGGGGTGAGAGAAGAAGCATTAACAAAGTGACAAACTTCTGGAAACATTGTGCAAGGTTTAGCATTTCCATCTGTCTTGAGCCCCAGACCTATCTCTGTGAAGTAGTTCTGACAATTGCAAAGCATGCCAGTGTACAGGAGAATGTGGTTACAGAAAATATCTCCAAGTCAACACCTTCAAGACCCTGCCAGGACTGCTCTGCCCAGTACTGAATATATTTCCTCATGGAATATCATATGATAGCTCATAGGTATCATGGGAAGTAGCACTGTCCTTAGACATGGTTCCAAAAAAAAAAAAAAGAAAAAAAAAAGAGAGAGAGGTGGGGGGGGGGGAGGGAAGGGAAAGGAAAGGAAAGGGAAGGGAAGGGACGGGAAGGGACGGGAAGGGAAGGGAAGGGAAGGGAAGGGAAGGGAAGGAGAAAAAAGACAGCTTAGCTTTCAGGGGTCTAAGTAGTCTTTATAAAAAATGTTCTATTTCATCTAAGATTCCACCATGTTGGACTTATGGTAAGCCCTGTTGCCATGGCAGGTGGATAGTCGTAGTTAACACACTCCGTTCCATAATTATAGTGTGATACCCCTGATGGAATACCCCACAAAGCTGCTGTGTCCATAGCATGGCCCCCATCTGAGGGCATGCTTTTGAGGTGACATTTTGTCCCCCGTCCCCATCCAGGCTCATTCGCTTTCTACTTCCTGGCTTTTATGAAATAAGCAGTTAGTATGTAATGGAGCCAGCCGAGCACAGATGCAAACCTCCTCAACTATGAGCCTCTTGAGGTTTGGATGAGAAATATCCCCCAACAGGTTCCTGTATCCTCTGAGGGTGGCACTATTGAGGAGACCATAAAACCTTAAGACATATGAGTACTGCCTTGCTAGAGAGAACATATCACTGGAGGTGGATTTTGAGAGGTGACAGCCTCACCCCACTTCTAGTTCCCATAGCATCTTCTATGTGGTTAAGCTTTCTGTCTTAGGTGCCTGTGTTCATGCCTCCCTGCCGTTATCTAGCCCTATGGAACCGTAAACCAAAATAAACCTTTCTTCTATAACATACATTGGGTCAGAGTGTTTATCACAGCAAAAGAAGAACATCTACTATAGAACCAAAATGAACCTTTTCTCCTCTTTATATGTTTCTCTCTGGCACTTTATCCTAGCAACAAAACACTAACAAGCCATCAGTATTGAACAAGGTTTAGATAAGGGCCAGAGATATATCTATTAATAAAGATGTAGGTCATTGGAGTGAGGGGACAGATCTTCCACTTCTGCATCAAATAATGAAAACAAGCAACGTTCTAGAAGCTTCCAAGTACCTGCTTTGCTGCAGTCCTTGGCCGTATGATGCTTTGATGAGAATGTACTCAATATTGCTAAGGACGGACATAAAATCAGAGTGCGTGACATGTTTCTCAGACACAGAGTTGAAATATTTCCAAAACTCCTGTGGATGAGAAATATGACCAATTAAATTCAGAGTTAATGTCTTCACAGACATACAACCTTAAAAGGAGAACATAGCTCTTTCATAGACAGCTTCAGACATCAGCCTTTCTCTGGGCAGATCAATGAACTGATAAAGATCAGCTGTAACCTAACAGGCAGTTGTCATACACAAGGATAAGACACATCCTAGGCAGGGCAGGGCAGAAAGATGTATGGTTTCATCATGAGACTAGAAACAGGATACAACGTTAAAGCCTAAGAGTTGTTTCTGGAATTTTCCATTTAGTATATCTGGACTTCAGTTGACTTGAACATCCAACACCGTGGAAAGCAAAGCTGTAGTTAAGCAACAACTATTGTAGCTTGGCTTTCAGGAAGCCATGAAATATGAATCGCTCTTAGAACTCTCTCTAAACACACTGGAGGTTGTCTCCCCAGGCCTCCTGGCTACCCTGATAGCAAATTTGCATCTTTAAGGAAGGCACATGGGACAACCATACATCACCTCTTTCATCCCCACTTCGTAATTCTGTCTCACTCCATTCTCTGGCGCTGGGGCATCCATATAAATGATGTGCTTCCTGGCCCGACCTCCTTTGATTAGGACTTGAGGCTCATAATTGGATGTTCCGGTGCCAACGGTAGAGTAGAAAGCCACACTGTACTGCAGTTTCCCACCATAGGCCAAGAGCTAGCAAACAACAAACTCATGTTATTCCTCTGGGGAAGCCTTAGTTTAAGGACACTTTATGGAAAGCTTGCATTACAGGGAAGGCATTACTCATTACAATGTATCCAATGGCAAGTGTGTTGCCCGGAATCTGCCTCTGCCTAATGCTGCTTATTAATGGTCTGTGAGATAGACTGAAGCTAGTCTAGTGATTCCACCAAACACTGTCTGAGAAGAAACCGGTGAGGCAAGGATTCTAATTTCAGGCTCTTTGAATTAAAATCATCTGTATCTATAGGACCACTGGAGTAGATTTTTAAAATTTAAAGGTCAAAGTGAGCTCACATGGTGGCATAGATCAGTTATCCTAGTACTCGGGACACTGAGGCTGAGGATTGGAAATTATAGCTAGCCTGGACTAACACACTGAACTGTATCTCAGAAAAACCAGAATAACATAAAGATCAGAGTGAATTCAATTCATGTTCTCTTAAGCAAGGCGCTGCACTGAAAGCCTTCTCTTACTTTCATAGGAGATGGCTCGCCAACTTACTGCTGCCTTCTATACAAGGGCTCCCAGGTCAGATCTAGCACTGCTACTGGTAACTACACTATTGACTTCTTGAATTATTGCTTTAGAAAAGAGAAAAAATAATGTAAATTAATGAAACCGTAAAAGCTTTAAAAATTAAAACATCTGAAAATTCAAGCCTTTGTGTGGATTTTTATAAGCACAGAACGTCTCCACCTTCACTCAGAAGAATGATTGGATATCTAAATCCTTTAGTGATGGGCAGAAGATTTTCCCTGATTTTCTCTCTGGGAACGGGAGGGGGCTAGGCTGTGTGTGCTCACCTGATCTCCCTGGAACTGCTTTGGTAGCCGCCAGTAAAATGGCTCTGCATAGAT